TTTTGCTTTTTTTTTTTCTTTTTTCTTTTTTGAACACTTTGTATCCCATCACTCAGGGAGCTTGTTATGTCTGCCTCCCAGGACTGGGGGAGGACTGGGGGAGGACTGGGGGGAGGACTGGGGGGGGTCTGGGTGTCAGACCCTCACCCTGTTCACATCAACCAGCTTTTCTACATATGGTTGAATAAAAGTCAACAGTGAGGCTGATCCAGAATGACCGTCTGTTACTGTTACTGCTGTTACTGCTGCTGCTGTTACTGCTGCTGTTGCTGCTGCTGCTGTTACTGCTACTGCTGCTGTTGCTGCTGCTGCTGCTGTTGCTGCTGCTGCTGTTACTGCTACTGCTGCTGTTACTGCTACTGCTGCTGTTACTGCTACTGCTGCTGTTACTACTGCTGCTGCTACTGCTGCTGTTACTGCTGATGCTGTTACTGCTGCTGCTGTTACTGCTACTGCTGCTGTTGCTGTTACTGCTGCTGCTGTTACTGTTACTGTTACTGTTACTGTTACTGTTACTGCTGCTGCTGTTGCTGTTGTTACTGCTGCTGCTGTTACTGTTACTGTTACTGTTGTTACTGCTGCTGCTGCTGCTACTGCTGCTGTTACTGCTACTGTTGTTGTTACTGCTGCTGCTGCTGTTACTGTTGTTACTGCTGCTGCTGCTGCTGCTGCTACTGCTGCTGTTACTGCTACTGTTGTTGTTACTGCTGCTGCTGTTGCTGTTGTTACTGCTGCTGCTGTTCCTGCTGTTACTGCTGTTACTGCTGCTGCTGCTGCTGCTGTTACTGTTGTTACTGCTGCTGCTCCTGCTGCTGTTGCTGTTACTGCTGCTGTTACGGCTGCTGTTACTGCTGCTGCTGTTACTGTTACTGCTGCTGCTGTTGTTACTGCTGCTGCTGTTACTGCTACTGCTGCTGTTACTACTGCTGCTGCTACTGCTGCTGTTACTGCTACTGTTGTTGTTACTGCTGCTGCTGTTACTGTTACTGTTACTGTTGTTACTGCTGCTGCTCCTGCTGCTGTTGCTGTTACTGCTGCTGCTGTTACTGCTACTGTTGTTGTTACTGCTGCTGCTGCTGCTACTGCTGCTGTTGCTGTTACTGCTGCTGTTACTGTTACTGTTGTTACTGCTGCTGCTGTTACTGCTACTGCTGCTGTTACTGCTACTGCTGCTGTTGCTGCTGCTGCTGTTACTGCTGCTGCTACTGCTGCTGTTACTGCTACTGTTGTTGTTACTGCTGCTGTTACTGCTGCTGAACTTCTCCGGTTTTGCTTTGATAGTGCAACACTTATCAGCCTATCTCGCCCTCCAAATGGAAAAGTGTGTAATCGAAATGACTGTCTGCGACGCCTGAAGTGCAACACGGCAGAGCTGGAAATCTCTCCACTGTGGAGGAGAGGCACGTGTGAAAAAATAAGAGAGGATCGAGAGTGAATTCCAGCTGTATTAATCAAAGTCTGGACCAGGGAGAGAGAGAGAGAGAGGGAGAGAGGGAGAGAGGGAGGGAGAGGGAGGGAGGGAGGGGGAGAGTAAGAGAGAGAGAGGCGGAGGAGGAGTGGAGCCTGACGCAGTGTGAGAGTCAGAAACAGAGGAGAGACTGAGGCCAGGAGGCAGCGCATCACATCAGGTGCCGTTTCACATCCCAAAATCTTGAGTCGCCACACAGGCTGCTGCTGCTGCTGCTGCTGCTGCTGCTGCTGCTGCGATCCCAGGCCACCTCCCGGTGATAATCGGGCTGGGATCACAGCGGTGACACACACAGACTGTGATTGTCAGCCCCACTGATCTTCAGGAGCACAGACAACCAAGGAGGAGGTGTTAAACGGACTGGTTTTCCGAGGAGACCGTCGGTACCGTCGGTACCGTCAACCACGCTGTGACCGGAACAGGTAATGTGACAGCAGATCTTCTTGCTCTTCTTCTTCTTCTTCTTCTTCACGTCTATTCTTTCTGTATTGCGTATGTAACTTTGCGACACAGCAGCAGCAGCAGCAGCAGCAGCAGCAGCAGCTCTGTGACATTCCTGCAGATCTGAAACAACGACACACATCTGCCGGTCTCCAGCTGCAGTCTATATGTGTATGTGTGTGTGTGTGTGTGTGTGCACGGTGGTGATAAATGAGGGTTTTGATGATGCCGTGCACAGCCCTTCCTGCCTTATCTCCATGCCTGTACAGGTTCCCGGTAACCTGTGTGGTGTCTGACCGTCTGGTGTTCAAGTTATTCCAAACCTAGCATGGAATTCTGAGTCTTTTTGGTAGTTTAAGGCACGTTAGGAACGTGCTTCCAATACATTGTCAAAATCTGGACCAGTCTTTGTATGACAGCTGGTTCTGTCCCGGGACAGGCAACATTTCAGAGAAGGTCGCCCATGGTTTCGAGACGTCTCTAAAAATATGTTGATGAAACTGGTGCTTTTTTCTTTTTGACATGTGGAATGAAAGGTGTTGTCTGTTATGGACCACGGCTGGTCAAACGTCTTTGCTGGTAGACACTCATCCTGTCCTAAACACCAAGCTGTGCATTAATGACTTCCAGGCAAAATTCAATGGATCTCCCAGCCCAAACACTGGGGTTGACCACTGCTAATGTCTGGCCATTACAGCCTACGGTCCCTCACAAACCAAGGACAAACACAGAAGTGCCCCTCGTTGAATATACACCTGTAGAATATACACTAGTTATCAGTAGGTATTTCACTGACGACTGTTTCACTGACGACTATTTCACTGACGACTACTCCAATTGATTTTTATTTATAGGGCACATTTTATGCACAAAGCAAACTCAATGTGCTTTACAGTGGTTCAAACAGTTTAATATAAAACAAACTGTGGTACACACTCCCTGACCCCTGACCCCTGCCCTTATAGACCCTAACATCAGGTGAGGAACAACTCCCAAGAATAACCCTTAATAGGGTAAAAAAAGGAAGAAACCTCCGGGTGAGAGACAGAGGAGGGGATCAGTAGCAAAACAATCTCCAATAGAACAGGTGGTAAAAACAGGGTGTAACCTGGTCTTTCAGATTGACCAATCAGAGAGCTTTTAGGGAGTTTGGCTACAGCACACTAAATCCGTCATAGAGTCAGGGTGTTGCTCTTTGCCCCGGTCACTGGTGCTGTTGTAGAGTGAATTGAACTTCTTCCTTCTCCTACAGTCGTCAGTACAAACTGTAGGTGACACAACATTTTGGCCGTTGTCCTCGGTGCCTGCTGCTAACTGCCCCACTCTCGGTGACAGATGTTGTTTCCATTTTGTCCCCGAGGACGTGAACTACAAACTGTTTTTTTACTGAATGACTCAAATTGTTGGCAGAACGCCACAGACGATGAAGAAA